TAGGGAGTGGAGACCCCTATAGTTAGGAAAAGTGACTAGGGAGTGGAGACCCTATGTACTAAAATAATTAACTAGGGAGTGGAGACCCTATGTTGGAAAAGTGACTAGGGAGTGGAGACCCTATGTCTAAAATAACTTCAACAAGGGAGTGGAGACCCTATGTTGGAAAAGCGACTAGGGAGTGAAGACCCTATGTCTAAAATAAATTCAACTAGGGAGTGAAAACCCTATGTTGGAAAAGTGACTAGGGAGTGGAGACCCTATGTCTAAAATAAATTCAACTAGGGAGTGGAGACCCTATGTTGGAAAAGCAGACTAGGGAGTAGAGAACCTATGTCTAAAATAACTTCAACTAGGGAGTGAAGACCCTATGTTGGAAAAGCGACTAGGGAGTGGAGACCCTTTGTCTAAAATGAACTCAACTAGGGAGTGGAGACCCTATGTTGGAACACTACAAGAAAAACTGGAATTAGCTACGAACGTCGTCGCTAATCTGTCGCTAAAATGCTCGTAGCTAACACAAATTCTTGATAATTCATTGCTAATCCGTCGCTAAATGAGATTAGCGACGGATTTTTATATTTAGCTACAGAATTTTTTCGTCGCTAAATCCTTGTTTTTAGTAATGGAAAGGTGACTAGGGAGTGGAGACCCTATGTCTAAAATGAACTCAACTAGGGAGTGGAGACCCTATGTTGGAATGGCGACTAGGGAATGGAGACCCTATGTCTAAAAATAAACTCAACTAGGGAGTGGAGACCCTATCTCTAAAAATAAACTAAACTAGTGAGTCGAGACCCTATGTTGGAAAAGCAGACTAGGGAGTGGAGACCCTATGTCTAAAACAAAATCAACTAGGGAGTGGAGACCCTATGTTGGAAACGCGACTAGGGAGTGGGAGACCCTATGTCTAAAATAACTACAAACTAGGGAGTGGAGACCCTATGTTGGAAAAGCGACTAGGGAGTGGAGACCCTATGTCTAAAATAAAATCAACTAGGGAGTGGAGACCCTATGTTGGAAACGCGACTAGGGAGTGGAGACCCTATGTCTAAAATAACTTCAACTAGGGAGTGAGACCCTATGTTGGAAAATCAAGCGACTAGGGAGTGGAGACCCTATGTCTAAAATAACTTCAACTAGGGAGTAGAGACCCTATGTTGGAAGAGAGACTACGGAGTGGAGACCCTATGTCTAAAATAAAATCAACTAGGGAGAAGAGACCCTATGTTGGAAAAGCAGACTAGGGAGTGGAGACCCTATGTCTAAAACAAAATCAACTAGGGAGTGGAGACCTTATGTCTAAAATAAATTCAACTGGGGAGTGGAGACTCTATGTTGGAAAAGCATCGTAGGGAGTGGAGACCCTATGTTTAAAATGAATTCAACTGGGGAGTGGAGACCCTATGTTGAAAAAGACGTAGCTAGAGATTGGGGACCCTAGGCTACCATGATTTTTGAATTTTTCTTCTCTTCTTCTTCTTCTTCTTCTTTTTTTTTTTGGAATGAGTGAATGCGGGAAAGAGTTTTGGAGGGGGCTTCCCTTTTTTGGATTGTTACTGCAAAGCTGTTTCTAGCCCTTGCGCAGTTTCTTTTTGGTTGCACATGCTTCTTGCAAAGTTGCTTTGAATTACACCTGTTTCATGTTTTTCAATCAAAGAACAATTTTTCAGTTTGAAACAGTGGTTGGTTTTGTGGCCTTGATTATTTAAACCACTTGATCTTGGACCCTTTCATCTACAACTGGTTGTTTCCTGAATACCGATTGCATTTATGACCCTGGAGAAACTCTGGCTTTTCCAAACTTTGCCATGACGGTTGGTCGGTGGAACTCAAACTTTTCGACTTTATTTTTCCTACAAAGGCTTTTCCGTTTTGACTTCCTTTTTTTTTTTTTGTGTGTGTTTTTAACTTCGGGGTATTGGGGAACTTTTTCTCCTTAAACTTTGGCGCAATGGCTAGTCGCGTGGGACTTAACCTTTTTCAACTTTGTTTCGCCTTCGTAGGCCTTTCATTTCTGGCTTCTTTCTTCTAACTTTAATTTCAGATCATTTGGGTACCTTGGCTTTTCAAAACTTTGCCGAGACGGTTAGCCGCGTGGGACTCAACCTTTTCAACTTTCAAGAGTTGTCAATTTCAAAACATCAGCCACCATGGCCGGTCGAAGTCGACTTGATGCCCCCTGACGAGGTTGGGTGCCTTATTGCACATTAGCTCGTGTCAAATGAAAACCCTGTAAATCAGTCTTGCCATCCCTTCTTTGTCTCAGTTTCGGAATAGAGTTAGACCTAAAGGGATTCAAAGGAAAACAAACAAAGGAATTGATAAATGAATTTAGACAAGAGGCATCCCTTTCAGGGAAAAGAAAGAAGGAATTATCTGGAGTACATGCAGATTTCAAATGAACATGACATGACTTTTGGACTGGATGCCTGATCTGTATAAACCGTCCGACTCTCAGAAATTCATCACAACTTTTGCCTCAAAATCGAGAAACCTTTCTAGGACTTTGTCGATGCCGATGGCTGTGAGGATCCTATTTTCAATCAGGGGCGCCCTTTGCGGGATTTCACGAGTTGACCTCTCTCATTTCTCTTCTCACCATCACCTTATAGTGCTCTTTGCGAGTTTTCACTAACAAGACTCTCTCATTTTCAATTTCTCTGCTTACCATCGCCTTACGGTGCCCGTGTGGGTTTTCACCAATAAGACTCTCTCATTTCATTTCTCTAATTTTGTTGCATCAGATCCAAGTAACTGTATCCTCCCATTTTGAACCTCTTTGCCGATTGATCAGAAGGACTTGAACAGGGTTTTGGGGTAAAAAGTTTGGATTGAATTACAACTTTGGAACCTTTTGGGCGAAACCATCGCCGAAACCATTATAACATCTGCCCCAGTTTCACTTTTGGGGGAATTTGGTTTTTCTTTTTGGTGTGACTGAACCCCAGAGAGGCTGCCAACGTATCCTTTCGGAATGAAGTCGAACGTAGTTCAGGGAAACTTTGTTTTTGATCTTCTTTTGTTTTTCTGTTTTGTTTTGTTTTCCTTTGTCTATCTTTTCCTTTCCTTTTCCACTTCTTTTTTTTTCATCATTTTTTTCATTTTCTTTGTCTTTTCTTCCTCTATTATTTTTTTGTATTTTTCTTTTTCTTCTCTTTTTTCTTCATCTCATTTTTTTCAATTTTTTTTTCAATAACACTTTCAGGTTCCAAAGAGGGTAATCAAAGAAGAGTAACCAGCTCAAAGGGTTTGCAAAGAGTTGATAGTGTTTGGGTAGCTAGAATAAAAACCTTCTTCATCCCAACCGGAGAACATTTATATTATATAGAGGATCCAACATAGTACCTTTTGACTGCATTTGCATTGACAGTTGTTTCAGGATATTTCCTTCGATGTTTTCCAGGTACAACGCACTGTTTGGCAGTACCCTTGTTATCATGTATGGATCTTTCCAATGTGGAACCAATTTTCCTCTAGCTGTTCCAACTCTTTATTTTATTTCCTTAAACTTATCTTCATTGCAATCTAATTCTTGATTCACTATTTCGAAGTCTGGCGGCGTTTTAGGATCTGGGCATGAAGTCCGAAAGCATGTCATGTTATTCAAATCTGCATTTAACAGAACTAAAAAGAGAATAAGAAAATGACAAGATTAAGAAAAGAGACATTCCCGGACAATGAAATATTAATTTCATTTGATTTTTGATATTTTGATTTTGATTTATTTATTTATTTTGAAGATAGAAGGGTTTACATCGGAAAGTAAGACATTAAAGTAAAACATCCGGATCACACCCTGAGATAATGTGGACGAAGAAAGGATAGCAAAACTGGCTATCGAGACTCCCGTCTGATTGGGAGCTTTCAGGCTTGGCCACCGTTTTTTGGCTTTTCTTCTGTCTCGGCAATGGCTGCAATGGCCTTCAGTGCCAGATCAAATTCCTCATCTTCACAAATCATTCCGACTATTAGCCCGTTGTTGTGGGCAAGCAACAGATTGTTCATCACATCAAGAGTTTCTTCATCCTGAAAAACAATTCTTTCAGCTTCAATCAAATCTTCAACTGCCCTTTTGAGGGTCCAACAGTCCTCTGTATTGTGTCCCGCTGCTCCAGAATGGTATTCACATCTAGCATCAGCCCGTGCGAGGGGGACTCAGGGTTTGGCCGGTTCGGGGCCACTGACTGCAATAGATTTAGCTTGATTAGCATTTGGAACAAGCTTGAATACGATTCACCAATAGGGGTGAACTGATTCTTTCTGAAAGTTTCTCTTGGGCGATGATTGTATTGGGGAGCATTTGGTTGGGGATTATATGGAGCTTGGTAAGGATGGGCGTTTCTGGGAGGTGGAGCTCGATTTTGTGGATAATGTTGTGGCCGCGAATAAGTTTGCGCGTTCATCACCGCATAGGGAGGCGGTGCCATGGCATAAGCAGCATCTTGAAGTGGATAGTAGTGTTGAGGGACCTCAGGAAGCATATATGATTGGCTGAATGACCTGCGGGCCGCCCTCGAGCTGGAAACCATCATGGCTCCTTCTTCTCTCCCGTTTCTATTTATCAAATCCTCTGAACCATTTTGAACATATAATGATGTGGCTTTAAAAGCAGCATGACTCAAGATTCGGCCCGTTTTCAGCCCACTTTCAACAATTTCCCCAATTTTGATAGCCTTAGCAAACGGCTTACCCATAGCGGACATCATGTTCTGGAAGTAGTCCGCCTCTTGGGCCTGTAGAAAGACCGTGGCCATTTCAATTTTGTCCATTGGAGGCTTTACCCTGGCAGCTTGCTCACGCCATTTAATAGTATATTCGCGAAAGCGTTCCGGGTTTTCTTTTTCAAATTGGACAAAGAGTTTCTGTCGGGGGCGATGTCCACATTATACTGGAACTGGCTGACAAAATCTCGGGCCATATCGTCCCACACGTGCCAATGGGTAATTTCTTGATCCGTATACCACTCAAAAGCGACTCCGGTGAGACTTTCCTTAAAATAGGCCATTAGCAGCTCCTCTTTTCCGCCAGCGCCTCTCAACTGGTTACAATATCGTTTCGGGTGAGCGACCGATCTCCATGCCCGTTGTACTTTTCAAATTTTGGCATCTTGAAGCCAGCTGGTAAGTGGACATGGGGAAACATACAGAGGTCAGAGTATGACACACTCTTTTGACCACTCAGACCTTGCATGTTTTTCAGGCTTTGTTCCAGGCTCTTCATCTTTCGAGCCATTTCCTTTTGCTTGGAATTTTTAACCACCTTTTCTTGCTCCACCGAGAGATCATACTGCGGAGGTTGAGTGAAGGAGTAGGGGGTCACATATGTTATTTCTGGTTGAAGCTGTGGACCCTGAAAGATAAAGATTGGAGGCGGTGCCCTTGAAGCCGTTGCCTGGGGGCGAACCACAGAAGGCATGCCAGGATCATCGGAGGGCATTGGAGGGTGCCCGCATGGGATGAGCGGGTTGGGCACAGGGGCGTTGGTAACCTCACCTGACCCGGGGATCAGCTTAGGGAACCCAGGGATTGCACTTGGCGGTTCCCTACAATTAGACCAAGCGTCCCACATTTTCAATATGCGGAGACGCAAACATCTTATTCTCTTCAGCAGCTGCTGATTCTGGTTGTGAAACAGCCGATGTTGGGCTATCCTTTGGATCGATGATTTGTGGATGGCTTTCAGAGGCCATAGGAACCTTTCCTTTGGATCTTATAAATAAGGATGGGAAGACAGATTACCAACAAAACCAACCACCAAGACCTGGCTAGTTTGCACACGCAACAACCTTGTCAGTTCTGAGACGCTTAACAGATAGGAAATCACAAGTTTGGATGCAATGCACCTAAACAGTTAAACGTTTCTACCATGTGTTTGAACGGTTGCTTGTTTCATCCCGGCCTTAACTAACCTTTTTTTTTTCAATTTGCACCTCTTTTCTTCATTTTTGCTTCTCTCTAATCACTCTTGATTTTGATTTTATTTCTACCGCTCTTTTATGTTGGCACTCTCTCTTTTTTTTTCCACTTTTTCTTTCTTTTTCACTCAATTTTTTTTCTTTCTTTTTTTTTCAAATTATTTTTCGCCCAGTTTTATTTTATAGTTATGATCAAATCCGGTGCAGATTGCCTACGTATTATGCCCCGCATGAATCAGATCTTGCGTAATTCGAGAAGATTGGGAATGGAGTAAACAAACTAACTCTTTTTTTTTATTTACTTTTCTAAAACTCAGACCATGAAAGCTTTAAGAAAAAGAAAAACATTTTTTTATTTGATTTTTTTTTTGAAATTTTCGAAAGAAATGCTTTAAAAGGAGAAAGGAAATATTGTTTTGAATTTTGATTTTGATATTTTCTTTTTTTTGAAAGAAAGACTTCTAAAAATTCATTACCTTTTGGTTTGAACTTTGGGAATTTTAAACGTAAAAAGAAAATTTTTTTTCTGTGTATTTTCATTTGTTTTCTCTTTTTCTAAAGAAGAAAGAAAAATATTTTTTTTTTGGATTTTGGATGTTGCCTCTTAATTTTCGAAAGAGGGACTTTTAAGAAAATATTTTGGATTTCTGAGTTTTTTGTTTTATTTACAAAAGTACTTCTAAAGAAAAGTGAAAATATTTTTGGATTTCAATTTTTCAATTTTTTTTGACATTTACGAAAAAAGGGCTTCTAAAGAAGAAAAAGAATATTTTTTCAAATTTTTGTTTCTAATTTTTTTTGATTTTTTTTGATTTTTTTTAATCTTTGGAAAAAATACTTCAAAATAAAGGAAACACGTATTTTGGATTTTGATTTTTTATTTTTATTTTTTTTCATATGAAAGACTTTAGAAAGTAGGAAACTATTTTTTGAGTTTAAAAAAAAAACTTTTTTTTTGAATTTTCTAAGGAAACATTTCTAAAGAAGGAACTAAAGGACAAAATTTTTGGAATTTTGAAAATTGGGGTTGAAACCGATAAGGTTTGCCTACGTATCTCACATCCGGTGAGAATCAGACCCGCGTAGTTCGGTCAGTTTTGACGGAACAAGGGAAACATGGCACTTGAAAATTTTGGCTCATTTTGAAATGACTTCTTTTTTTCAGAATTTCGGCAGAGTTTCAGAATTTTTTCAAGCACTTGGGTTTTTCAGAATCTGGTGAATTTTCTCTTTCCTAGCTCACTCTGTTTTTTTTTTTATTTTCTTTCCCTTTTTTTAGAAGCCGGTCAACATGCAAGCCGAAACAAACAGATGCCCAAGTAGCACGTAAGATGCATCAGGATGGTCTTTTAATTTGGGTACACCTGTCCTAGACGAACCCAACCTCTGTGTTGAGTCCCCAAAGTCAAATGCACATGATGCAAACAAGCGTTCCTACTAGGGATCCGGCATGAGGCTATGTTATACTAGGTCTAAAAATCTGGGTGTATTGTTCTAGACCTGGCTTACCCGAGCGGACAGCTCGAGCCGGGAAGGAGGGGGGGGAAGCGTACCGGGAGTACAGAAGCTTCACCGGCTTTGCAACTTCTCCGAACCTCGTTCTGAAATTGGATATGACTCTAACAGAAAAGAAGTCGCACGAAGTGCACACTTCCCAGATGATTTAGAAGACTCAGAGAGAAGAGGGTTTCGTAACAATTTATATACAGTCCAAACAATATCAAAACGGTAAAAAGCGGCATTTAGCCCATTAGGTTCAAACATGTAAAAATCAGATAATAGATAAAGCCAAGTATAACAGTTATTATAAGCTCGAATTCTTGAACCCTGAAACAAAATTTCTGGGTTCTTATCCCAGCAGAGTCGCCAGAGCTGTCACGTCTCCTTTTTTACTACCCCGAGGGTATATAGGAGTTTTTCCAATTTAAGTGACATTATTCGAATGGGATTATTTTATTTTAATTTTTTCAGAGTCGCCACTTGGAATAATTATTTTGGTGTCCCAAGTCACCGGTTTATTTTTAAAATCCCAAATCGAGGAAAAATCGACTTTATTTAAAAGCCTGCGAAACCAGAAATTCTAGATAATGAATTCTGTTAATCCGGGAGAAGGTGTTAGGCATTCCCGGGTTCCGTGGTTCGAGCACGGTCGCTTAAGCTGTTAATATTGGCCTATTATCTGATTAATACATGTTTTAAACCTAGTGCATTTTAACTTTATAACCGCTTTTATTTATTTAAACCGCTTTTAGGATCTACGAAATTATTTCTTAAACAAGTTACGATTGTCGTACACTTGCCGTTTTGGAACACACCGCAAACCACGCTACATGAAATGCACCCGCGATTCGCGACATGTTTATTTTATTAGTATTCGAAGTTGTTATGATCGGGTGACATGAAATGCACACTCGAATTGGGGATTGCGTATCGAGACTATGCCACGGGAGCCGTACCCATAGTCACGATGATTTATTATAACACGCGCCTAAAGCAAACTACGAAATATTCAAAGTATTTTCTACACTAGTTGGTATTAAGCTTCCTCATAGTTAACCTCAATAAATCAGTCAATGAAAAATGATTTTCGATCATATTCTCTTATTAATAGTAAAGAACTAGCCTGTCAAAATAAGAATCAAAATAGGCAGACAAATTAGCGAAAAGAATAAGGGGAGCAAGAAAATCAAATTCAATCGTTTCTATGCAAATCACAATATAGCTAGGAACTATAATATGTTTCTTAAACTGAATCTATGAAGAAAATGACAAAGTGTACCTCATAAAAAATTTTCTAGTTCCCGCGGTTCCACAAGAATATAGAGAGGCTTTCCCTTTAGCCTGCTTTGATCCTTGACATCTGGAACTCCGATAACGCAACCACATTCAACCACCTCAGCTCCCATCCGTTCTAGAAGTTTAATTGCAGCAGAGAGCGTTCCACCGGTAGCTACCAAATCGTTAAGTATGACTGCTTTGCCCCCTTGATGTACATCTCCAACATGCATCTCCAAACAATCTTTCCCATACTCCAGTTCATATGATTCTGCAATTACCTTACCTGACAATTTTCTTGGCTTGCGTAAAGGAATAAACTTTGCACCAATGGCTAGAGCTACAGATGGACCAAACATGGACCCTCTAGCTTCAATTCCAGCAACAACAAAGATGTCCATGTCTTTGTACCTATAAGCAAATTTATATGCACAGCGAATCGGTACAACAGAAAAACAACAACAATTTCCTTTGAAGGCCTAGATTTTTGGAAGATCATCTCCTTTTCAGATCTGAAATGGCTTTCCAATTAATAAAACTTCAGCAATTATGACAACTGAAAATCGAACTTTCAATTGATGAAATTTCCAGTAGATACGGACAGAATTCGAGCGAACGCTCTATAATATCCAAATTTTTTGTCATTTGTGCAAAGAGAAGAAACGATGATTCCGGATCTCGACGGCGACTAACTCGAACACCTTCAAACTCGATCGAATCCCATAATTTGAAAACAAAATTTCGAACTAAAAACTCAGATTAAGAATATATTTGTTGGATTTTTCTTTAGAAATCTAGGCCTCATGGATCCCTACCATACATAGCTGAAAGAAGACACCCACAAACTCAAAACATGCAAATTTTGTATCCTTTTTCTAAGATTCAGAAAATGCTCGAGCTGGAGTAGTCTTGATCGACTTTTATTCAACTAAGAACCCGAATTTAGACCAAGAATTGTATCTGTGTCTCTGGGTGTGCTGAAGGAGAAAGGGGTCGTTGGTTTCAGGGGTATGGTATTGGAATTGGGCTGGGATTTGAAATTAGTTTGGGTCATTTTAGGAATTGGCCCAATTTTAAAAAACAAGACCAAAAGTATAATCATCCTAATTCCCTTTTCTTTGTTTTTTTTTTCTTTTTCTTTTCTTTAATTAATTAAAATCCTAAATTAATCTATTTTTTGTGGAAATTAAAAATTCTTTATTTATTTTTAACATTAAAACAAGTCATTAACTTAAAACTAAAGAAAAATGCTAATTTTAAAGGTTAAAATCTAAATATGTAAAATGACTATTTTTTTGTGATTTTTTTCTAAGTAAAATTAATTTTTACATGCAAATTGAACCTAAGATGGTATGAAATTAAAACATGGCAATGTTTATGATTTTTTCTATGATTTTAAAATATTAAAAATGCATGAAATGCAACTAAATAAAGAAAAACTCCTAAAAATCAATTAAAATAATTTTGATCTATTCTTTAGGAGTTATTTTCATGTAGGGCAAAAATTAGGTGCTCACAGGAGACTTTAGGCAACTGCTAGGGTACAATTTCTAAACCTAAAAAAGGGGTTTGTTTGTTTCTGCTTATTCACTTAGATATCCTGCTTTAGGATGTTGTCTAATAAAAGACCTTAATTGTGCTTGAGTCGTGCTGCTTATGTGTTTGACTGAGGAGGAAACTCTGAGCCTTTTAAATTGCTCCCATTATGTGTGAAAGTCCTATATGCTTTTTTGACTGTCGCCTTAGAATATTTGCCTTTTAAAACATTAGGGGTACGTCTAGAACCACCTATAGGTAGAGGTCCTAACTCCCTCCACGACCATTAAGAAGGGACGAGTTGCAGCAAGCAATAGGAATCGTTGACCAAACACTTGCTTTGCATGACCAATAAGAGGATGGGAAGGGTAGATATGGATATGATGACTGGTGCGCTAATGCCACGCGTAGCCCCTTTCCAAGGAGTGATTACTGGGCATTGTACTGATGTGATCCTATAGGAT